ACACTTTAATGGCACCTTATATATTTCTTATTTTAATCTTTCCTCTGTCATGGTTCTTGTTTATTTATTTAGTATAATTATAGACATGTTTCTGTTACTTTGGCAATTCTGCATGTGAAATATTTAAGCCAATAAAGTATTTTTAAGTTAAATTGACTACATACTGTATATTTTCAGTCTGCATCCCATTTTATGCACGGTGCCTCCAAAAACCAAACTGATAACAGTGATCTTTTTTTTTTATTGCAAAGAACAAAACAGAAAATATAATATATTATTAGTTTTAATATAGATTAAAACCATAAACATGACACATGAGAAAGAAAGAAATTGCATCTACACGTTCTGAAATTCACCTCCATCATTAATAAAACAATCAACTGAGCAGTAGCCCTCAAAGTCTTTGAAGGAATAAAACCCACGCAGGACTCCCCTCCTGCCATTCCCACCATAGCCAGGTGGGCAGTCTTTAAATATTTCACAGCACCGTAGAGAAGCACCCGGCTGCAGCCTGCAGACCGAGGCGGGGCTGCACCTGGGGCGGGGCTGCACGTGTCGCCCCGCCCACAACTGTTCTCATTGGTTAAAGGCGTCACGTCCTGACGTCGATTCTAGCGGGTTTTCATTTCCGCTGTTCTTCGCTGCATGGTGAATACAGGCAAGCTACGTCTCTTGTCTAATTTGTTTAATTACAAGTTTCAATTCTAAAGTGGCATTTAGTGTGCTGTTAAAAGGAAGGGTGAAGTAGTTTAAAAATAAAATTGCGTAACTTTACTCACTCAACCATATCACACAAATAACCAGGGCTGCGTTTCCCAAAAGCATCATAGGTCTAAATGCCTTTACGCTCTGTCGGAAATTTGATAATTCTCACTTCTGAAGTTGTGACTACGAGCTCATCGCATTAAAGTTTCGAAATGGGAGGGCGTTCATGTGTAATGTTTACCTAGGAAACTCTTCCGAGAGCACGTGAAGGCAGCATTAGAAGCGTTAGTGTGTGTGGTTTTGGTGGGATTATGATTAGGATATAGTGTTACCAATAATATACCCAAAATAAGCCCCTTAAAAAGAAATACAGTGGCAAAACTGAACAAAGGCTCTTTTAAGAGCCATTTCCCCTTGCAAAAACTTTTAATACAACTCCGAATGAGAAAGAAATGCATACAGGTTGAAGTTGTTCTTTAACTCATAGAAGTTTGTGATTTGTGTTTAATTTAAGTGACTTGTTTGTATCTTTTACTTATGTACAGCTGTCTAGTCGCAGTGTGACCCTAAATGTTGTCCAAATCCTGTGGTAACAAGCCTGAACGTAGTTAAAGCAAGCAAAACATTTTGGGGAACCATGCCAAATGAGGGGAAACAGCAGTTGGTAAGTTCATTTTAGGGATTTTATCTTTACAAAATACTGTTCATCAGCCTGAGCATTTATGTATCTTTATCTGAATGTTAGCTAAACAATGCTTTGGATGTCGAAAAGTGCAAAGACGAGCCATTGGCAACTGCATATAACACAACGCTAAAACGATCAGACCTGTCCTGTCTGGGACTGGAAAAAGACATTGAGGGAACGGTACACAGTTCAAAAACATTATATTTGAATATAGCAATTAATGGTGGATGTTTATATTGATTTTCTGTTTTATTTTAATGCAGGTTCTCAACTGTTTTCCTTTGAGTTTGAGATAACGTTTTATGTACATAATTTAAAAGAATTGCATTACACATACCTGTCCTGTACTACTTTTCATTGCAGGTCTGATGAAGAAAGACGGGCAACAAAAAGACAAATGAGGCATACTGAAAAGAATGTATGAGACATTTAATAAGACTTTTTTTTCCTTCTCTTACCATATATAGACTGACTTATATTCTTTGCTATCCTTTTAGGCACAAAAGGCAAGCATGACTGCAGAGTTGCAACTTTTGGATGTAAGATGTCTTTTTTTTTTCTTTTTTGTGTGCTGGAATACTGTAATATTCCATTCAAGCAGATAGATTAATCCTTTTATAAATACTTTCCAGTTACCCATGGAGGTCTTGGAGATGATACTCCTTGAAGTAGTGCTACAGGATGGAGATGCTACCTACATGAATATGTCTCTTACTTGCAATTGTAAACAAGGCCCTGTTCAGACAGAAGGCACACTATGCATGGCTTGACAGTAAGTGTGTTAAGCTTTAAATGTGTGCAATGATGTATGCATAAGGCCTCATGAGTATAAGGTTGGCTTTAAGTAATCTTGCTTTTTCTAAAGCACTGTCACGGCTAACAATCTTAGATGTGCATATGAAAGAGTTCTGTTTTGTGTGTTTTTGGCTACAGGTGTTGTGAACTGGGGAAAATGGAGTGAAACATCAAAGGCTGAATTGCGGGTGCCTTTTGAAATAAAATGTCAAACCGTGTTCAAATCCTGCTCAGGTTTTTATGGTAACGGGAAGCGTGGTTGCCTGAGAGGATTCTACGACAGCATAGAGGACCCAGACTGCTGTTTCATGTGCCAGTAAAGTGTATAAAGAAGGAAGGTTTAATGATTAAAGGAGATTAAGCATTAAAGGAAGAAAGTGTGTAAAGGATGTTAATGGGTAACCAGAGATTTATATGTACAAAAAGATGTTATATACAGATGTACAAATTTCACTTTTCTTTATCAGAAGTAAATGGTTTTATACCTAAATAAGGAAATAAGTGTCTTGGAATGTTATTCATTTTCGTTATCAAGTAAATCCATAATTTAATTTGGTAACAATATGGTTCATTAGTTAACATGAACTAATAACGAACTGCACTTATACAGCATTTATTAATCTTAATGTTAATCTCAACATTTACTAATACATTATTAATCTTGTTAACATTAATGCTCCGTGAACTAACATCAATAAACTTAAATAAATATATAAAATTAAATCATTTTGAAGAAAGGCAAAAGAGCCATACAAGGAGAATATTTTAAATGTATTTTAAAATATATTATAGGATGGTGTTAGGAAAAGTGTGTTATTTGCTTTGTCTGTAAAGTACCTAAGAGATTTAATTTATAATTAACATTACCATCATCTATACTGTGTGCATAATTATTAGGCAAGTTGATTTTCTAGTCTTTTTTACCAATTCCAAACCACATAAATCTTAACTACTATTGATTTTGTATTTAATCATTTATAAGTGATATATAATTGTCCATGAAGGCTGGAAGTGAAAAACTCCTTACATTCAGGTGTGCAGAATTATTAGGCATGTTTTCTTTTACTGATAAAATGAGCCAAAAAAGAAGTTTAACTCAGACTCAAAAGTCAAATTAAAAAAAGTTAAATTAAAAAAGTTTGTCAAGTCAAAATTTAGGTTGGTTTGGCTTGGCTTTTTTATTATTTGAAGGCAATACAGTCTACCAGAAAAACAAACAAAAAACAGACGGATAGATGAGAGGAAACAGACAGGCAGACACTCAAATACTTTTTACAGTACTCACTACACGTTAGAGTTAAAGAACTTACTGTCTAGCCACATGAAGTGGGCCTCTTCTTTGAATTTTGTCTCACTGGCAATGTCCCTAAAAAGCTTGCACGTGAGAGAAAGTCTCATAAAGGCCATGTCTCCATCGTCTGAGACCACTCTCAACAGGATCTGCCCGAGGATCTCCAGTGGCATCTGTCCAAAATAACCAACAGTCAGTCTAAAATGTGACTGTAGATAAGACATATAAAAAAATGAAACTGATAGATTGACAGGATTTTATACTGTGCTTACCTTGGTCAAGTAATCAACAGGTGGAGGTGGGGGAGGGGCTTCCATTGCCTCCAAATTGGAGAGTAATAAGAGTAGCATCAATGTCAAAACCCTGTTAATTGTGCTGTACAAGAATTAAAGTAGAACCCATACCTGCTCTTTCTAGTCTCCTCTTTTTTCTGAGTTGTTTTCGTTCCGCGTTTGACCTTCAAATGTTTAAAATATAAAGAGCTTATGAAGAGAGTTTGATCTTAATGACATCCCCAGAAGATTTGAAATTCACTGGTTTAGACTGATATATGTAATGAAATTATTTGCACTTTATAGTTAAAACGTACGGTAGCGCATTGCTGCCACAAACATTTATTTTGTCCACTCGATTATGTTGTATAAACGACATCTTTTCTCGTAATAACGAGTTGTTGTTAAAATGACAATTGTCTTATTAAAACGACATATCATAAAAACAAGATATTATATCATAAAACAACATAACATGTGGCAGCAATATGCGCCATCATAAAAACACTTCTTTGTACTATTTAATTTAAACTTAAATTTATGTTTACAGATAAGTTGGCAACATTTCACATAAAGTACAACTTGATCTGACTTACTTCAATAGATAATTACTCAGCAGAAGCATACACCACCACCTTCTAATTGTTGGCATGTCATACTGTAAAATAGAGCACTGATGAGCTAATGGTAACTAAGGATCTCTAAAAAAATGACTTTGGAATTTAAGACTTACTTCGTTGAAATCAAAATGCCCCTCCAATACCACGTAGAGTGCATACTACAATACGAATTAAAGATCATTTTAGCAGACAATGTACAATCATATACCAAAATGTTTGTTTCTATTCAATAATACCAATAAACAAAACATCAAATGCAAATTCTTTCAGATGTAGGACATTTATAATACTTTCTGGTGTGACTTAGGTTACAACACTGCATGGCTTACCATCAACACAAACACTCCACAGTTATTTGAATTGTGTTGTCTGGGAATGCCCTGAAAATTACAACAAGAAAAAAACAAACAAAAAAAAACACATACATAATTTATATAAAATATATAAAGAAATTAAAACATCAAAAGCTGGCAAGCCTTAGTATAATTGGTGCTTACTGTAATGTCATTACAGCTGTACTCCCTCCATGGCCCAGGAATGACACGGTTTGCTAGTTGCCTGTTAAGAGTAATATCATATAAGTGTAAGTAATTTAAAAGTATAAGTAAGCAGAAGTATAAAATACATTTTAAAAACACACGAAAAGACAGTTAGATCTGAATTAATTCATTAAGTAAAAAGAAAAGCAAAAATGGAGATATATGATTTAAAACAGAACTACCATAACCCCGAACTCACAAACTTTGAACATTTCACTCGTAAGACCTGTAACTGTTCATGAAACGGCAATCACTGAAGCCACGTCCGGAAAGGGAATCAAGCCAATAGATCTCTCTATTTTTTGGCTTCATGATCTAAAACAATGTAACTTTGACATCAACTGTCAAGTGCTAGCACTTTCCTTTACATTTGTAAGGTATGAAATACCCAAGCAGACATTTAAATATTTTCTGATTATTTGATCATTAAAGATAATTATTTTGAGACCTACACAGATCTTTCAATGATTTTCTGACCAGGAGGGCAGTAGAATTATGTCATGACTTGATAGATTTTCCTAAGAAAAAAAGTAAATATGAAATGAATTTAGACATTTATAAATAGATAAGTTATTTAGAATATAAATATTTTTAAAATGGCTTCATACTGCCTCAAACACAAAACAATGATACTCACAGGAACATTGCACATTGGATATGCACACAAGGGTGGCAACCAAGTCACTGTCACATATGAATTAAAGACATGGACCATTATGCCCTGTTAAGTAAAAGTGCAACAATTAAATAAGGAACCACATTCCCATTTTTTCCACACATTGTGCATACAGAATAGTTGATCAAGGGAATTCTTTGCATTACCTGAAGGTCAGCAATATCCTTCACAACAGAAAGACAGGCATTCAAAATCTGTTAACATTCAAAGAAATGCATTTACAATCTGTGAAAATGTAAGGACATAAAAGGGCACATAGTACTATACTGTACTGCATGGGTTAAAGGGTACAAATATATTATTTTTGCTGCATCTCACTGTTGCTTCTACATCACGTTGGTGCCCTAAAGTAAGTAAATCCATCCTGGTGAGGACTGTAGTTCCAACAGATGCCAAAAATTCATCGGCTGGTCCCGTCTCCATTAAGGCATGGTTTAGCTATGAAAATAACAGCAAAGTACTACAATGTGTCTTTTTTTGTTAGTCTTAAAACAATAAAAAAAAAACTAACAGTAATTTAAAAAACAAAACAAAACGAACAAACAAACAAAAAACACCTTACCTGATTCAGCTGGACTGTACTGGGTGACTGTTTCCAGCATGCCTTGTTCGGTTGCACATCCTGTAGAGCAGTAATACCCACCGTGGAAGACTCAGAAGGGACTGAGGAGTACATAAAAGTGTAAATAAATTAATTAAAAAAAACATCCAGTTTAACGTCACATTACATATTTTTAAAAATTAACATGCGTACATTGGTCATGTTTTCGCTTTTTGTCTCCTGAGGGTCATTTACATTAATAAAAAAAATATTATATTTCCTACTTCCAACAAACTCTTGCAACAAACACCTTGCTGGATATGTATAATTACATCCACTAAGTTTTACCCAGTACTGTAGTCCTAATTTAATACGCCTTAACCATAAGGACATTTCTCCCATTTCAATAAGCAAGGCTGAAACTGGAGAAGTTCTGAAGGCGCCACAACAAATCCTCAAAGCCCTTGTTTGCACTACATCTAACCTATTCAAAACAGTTTTAGAAGCAGACCCATATACAAAGGACCCATAATCAATAATGGACCTGATCATGGCCTGATAAATTAGTAATAGCATCTCCCTATTGGCCCCCCATTCACATCCAGCTAGACTTCTCATAACATTCAAAACTTTTTCACACCTCTCCACAATCTTACCTACATGTACAGCCCAAGTCATACGTTCTTCAAACCAAACACCCAAAAATTTAAAAGCCTTTACCTTCTCCAATGGAGACCCATACAAATACAGCCCTATATTAGGTAACTTTCTTTTAAAACCTAATATCATAATTTTTGTTTTGTTTTAGATGCCGAAATTTTAAATCCCTGTGTATTCCCTCATCCCTCCACCAACACTAACATTCTTTGAATCTGCTTTAAAACAAACCCTACATTACGCCCTCTTTTCCAAATGGCCCCATCATCTGCAAATAAAGAAAGCCCAAATCCTCTCTCCATTTTATCAAAGATATCATCAATCATTATATTAAATAACACTGGAATGATAACACTTCACTGTGGGGTTCCATTCTCTATTTCCACAATTTTTGAACTAACACTACCAACCTTTACTTGAATTGTTCTTTTAATTAAAAAATCCTTTATCCAATTAAACATTCTTCCCCTAACTCCTAAATCAAAAATTTTAACCATTAATCCCTCCTTCCACAAAGAATCATATGCTTTCTCAATATCCAGGAAAACACTAACTACTACTTCCTTATTGCTAAATGCCCTTTTAATATCCTGATCCAACACTGCAACTGATTCCATTGTAGACCTTCCATTCCTGAAACCATTCTGAACATCAACAAAAAGTCCTTTAGTTTCTAAAAAATATACTAACCTATTTGTTACCATCCTCTCCATAATCTTACAAAGCACTGCCGTGAGCGCTATTGGACGATACGAGCCCGGATCAGACGCCTCTTTACCTGGCTTTAAAATTGGGATCACAACGGCATGTTTCCATTCCTTGGGCAAATTACCCTCTTCCCACACTGTATTAAACAAATCTAATATTTCACCAAGTACAATATCATCCAGATGTTTAATGAACTCATAACGCTTAGCAACCTCATATGGCACGATCATCTTGACTGTGATGTCCGTTTCGCGAACGAATCTTTGAACCGGTTCTTTTTAGTGTACCGGTCGAACCGGTTCACCAAATCGGACTGAATCGTTCAAAACAGTTCGCATCTCGAGTCAGCACTGATCCACCATTTTCTAAAGTTTCTCACTTTCAGACCTGCCTTACAGTCCCTACGACTCAAAATAAACCAATATACCGGAGTATATGTTACTCCTACTGAGAACCGATGAGCTGGAGATACTCCCCTTGTCCAAAAATACTCACACTTGCAGTCTTTGCACTTGACCACTTGACTACTTATATGATGTATTTCCTGTATTTGGTCCAAGTGTTCAAGTGAGCATGAAGACCACAAGTGTGCAATATAGCTGTATTTTTGGGAACATGCTTATTCCAGAGCAATCTGGTTGTTATTCGGAACATGCTTGTTCTGAAAGCTGTAGTTGAATTGGAACATGTTTTTCTTAAGTCTAGCTGCTAATATTGAGAATGCTGCTTAGCTTGCCCAGAACGGAACCATACTGCCAATCCAAACTGTATGCTAATTGTCAATCATCTTTGATGATAGAGGTCCTGACAGAATACATGAAAATGAAGCAGCAACCCTTCCACACCGTCACAATGCAGAACGATTACGCTCACACACCCCCCAACCCCCCCAAAAAAATCACCCACAGAAGTCAATAGGTAACTATAAAATATTGATTTTTTTTTTGCATAGTTCCTGGTTCTGTTGACTCATGTTGACTCATGTGAGCCGTCTGCTGGTGCGTGCACAAATAACACCTGTTTACACTTATTCTCCTCAAACGCGGGATGACTGAGACGCTGCTAGAGGAAATGAATGATTTTGTTTTCAAAGAGGATAAAGGAAATAACATAGTTGTACGGTGTAAGCTATGCATGACGACTCTTGCTTTAACAAAGGCTACTCAACCAACCTGAATATTTACAGGTACGAGTCCGACTAGCATGGAAATCATCATGTTAGCTCAAATTTAGTGTTTGTTAGTGATTTAAAATGCCATGGTGTGCATGACTGCACTTGTAAGTTTTCTAGCGAAAAATGAGCCTGAAAATCCCCACACCCCGGATTAGGTCAATGAAATAAAGAAAGATCATAGCATTTCACATGCATTTCGACATGTAGGCTTATTTTAAAATAGACTAATATGTATATGGTGTAAAAAAAAAATTATGTTGTGTATAAACTATATTTATTTTTACTTGTACAGGTTAAAGAAAAAATAATAATAATACAAATAAAACTGTAAATCTTTGCTAAACTGTATAGTCACTAGATGTCTGCATATCCTTTTATGTACGGCCTGATTGCTGCGCACCAGAGACAATATGATAATGTCATTCTCCTCCCCTTGGTATTGTGAAATAAGACACGATTTTTAATAGTTTCAAATAGTTTTTACTATAGTTTTTATTTGTTTTAATTTTAAAGTGATATGTAATATCTAAGTACTTTTATTTAACTGTGTAACTTGAAGTAATCCAAAAGTAATCAGATTACATTACTTTTATATTGTGGTACTTGGATTATGTTACTGAATACTTTTTTAATTAAATTATTTGTAACTGTAATGGAATACATTTTAAAAGTAACCCTCCCAACCCTGAACACCACATACAGGTTTGACTGTAATCGTGTTATAACTGCAAAAAAATGATACTTCAGTACAAAAAAACTGCTAAACTTTCAGACAGAGTCATTTTTTATTATTACAATAATGATTTTATAATCTCTTAACATAAATCAAAATAAAAAGTCTTGTGATCTTTTTTTTCACAAAACTTCACAAGGGTCTCTGGAGACCCCAAACAGCATGAGTGTATACCCCAAATGAACAGAGCATAAGGGTTAAATTAATCTATTCTATAAAGTGACATGAATTAATCACATCACTTTAATCAGATACTTTCTTAACTGCTGTTTTCTCAGCACTGTCTTTTTTGTTGTTGATGTGATGTGATACTGTCACATAAGAGACATGTTTTACTGCTCTATTTATTGCAATGATTTTATGTATGATAGAGTATTAACTGGTTTACATGTTTTGTTAAGTCCATTTTATTCCTCTTAACATTTTAGTGTGTATGTGTCTTTAAGAACTGTATGGTTGGCCTGTCAGGTGACCAGTCACGTGACAGGAAGAAGGAGCAGTATAAAGAGAGCAGCATGGCCAACACAGGAGGAAGTGACTAACACTTACTAAACTTACCTGGATTGTGGAGTTTCCTTTGTGTGGACTTGCCTTTCCAGATACACTTGCAAGCTTTTGGATTATCACTTATCTTGGATTGTATATACACTAGTGATGGAAAACTGAAGCGTTTGAGGCTTTAATGACATTGTGCAGAAAAACGGTTCATTACTCGAAGCTTTCAATACAATGCACATTAGTGACATGGTCGGACTTGTTTTCTCCGCCATATCTGACAAATCATTGCGGAGCAGAGGATGGTTTGAAAAAGCATGTGACCAAACAAAGCTTCGGAAGTCCGAGTCCGTGACATACAAGAGTGTGGAATCAGTCTGGGATCAAAACAATTCTATCTAATCTGATATAATCTCATCTAAATTAATTTGTGCCAGTGAGACCACAACTCGTGTCATGTATAGTTTGGTCAACGGATTCACATATTGATCAATGATATAAAATACACAAACATGTGATCATAATTAATAATTGACGTGGGTAGCTGAAAAAAATATGTTGGGTGAGCTGTTACCCTTATGTTCTGTTCGGGGTCTCTGAGACCCCACTTATAAACATGAATAAATGTCCTACTGACAGCCCTCAAAATAACTGAATAATCCTTTTATGCATCAGGTGGGATCGTGAAGTGCCAATTTTTTCAAACCAGCTATCCCGACCTTCCGATACTGCATGATATTCGAAGCTTCAAACGTCATCAATCACGTGGTGTTGTCATTTCGATACAAGCATCGGCACAGTGTGTGATACAATAGTGCTTTGAAAACTGTCGGAGCATTGGAGCCCCGGTATCAATCGTCCCATCACTAATGGCGCTTTTCCACTGCATGGTACGGCTCGGTACGGTTCACTTTTGGGGGGTTTTCCACTGGGTACAGTACCTGGTACCTGTTACTTTTTTTAGTACCACCTCGGTTGGGGTTCCAAGTGAACCGTACCGTTACCAAAACATGACGTGTAAACTCTGCTGATCACTGATTGGCCCGAGAGAATCGTCACTACCTGCATCACTGAACTTGCGACATAAACACAACAGAACCGCTAGATTTAAATCAGCCACCGAATGATCGAACGCAACTGTTTTGAACGAGCGCACATTTTTAACAACCAAAAAGTTTTGTTGTCTGTAGCGGAAGAACAGACGTTCCTCTCG